AAGAAATATTCCTAGTGAGTAGAAAGAGAAGAATAATGAGAAAAAAAATCAAGAAATTGTAATCTTAAAATTAACAATAATAAATGATGAAACTTATTTATGCAAGAATGCAGAGTTCATATGCAAATTATATGCAAAACATATTGTAAATAGTTTTTACTCTTTTCTCCCTGTTCCGCGTATTATTTGACTACAGACTTTCCAGAAAGATCTTAGGTGAATGAACTGTCATAAGAGTGTGCTATTTACTAAAACCCATATTATTCCCAGAGAAATATATATTTTTTATAAACAGCTAGTACCATTAGTTTTTCCTATCAAAACTCCTTTCATACGTTCATGAGTGTAGTTTAGATTTATTTTTCGTTGTGTTTTTCTTTAATTAAGGAATACTTCCTGTCAGGATTGGTGAGCACTTTAAATTTATTTCGCTATGTTGCTTTAGCTATTTAGCCATTATTTAAGGCCGAAATAAACTTTAAAATTAGAGTTTGTTTTTATTGTTCAGTGAATTTGATCAGTCAAGTTTGCCTTTTTTTTTTTTTTTTTCCTTTTTTCTCAGTCCTAGAGCAAATCCTCAGAAAGTCAAGTCCTCTGAAGCGTATGTCACCATGAATGACTTGGCCTTTGTTTTGCTTTTTGTCTAGGTCTCCAGCCATGTCCCATATCCTGTAGCGTTACATGTCAATATAGTCAACGTCCCTCAGCCGGCTGCTGCAGCCATTCAGGTAAGATCACCTTAAGGTCATTTCATAGAAAACTTATCGTCTAGGTAAGGCATCCTTTTTAAGAAATGCTCTATTTCTTTCATCTAAACACTTATTTTCACCTGACCTACTGAAGTTAAAAGAGAAGGGAAGAGTGGAGAGATGGGTGGAGCTCCAGGCAGCCATCTACCAACCTTTCTTCCAGTGTGAGTTTCCTTAGGAATTCCGATTCTCCGATATTACAAGTTGGAACTACTCACCAGTCAACATCCACTCTAGCCTCAGATTTCACATCACTCCCTTACATCTAGAATAACATTCATGAAGATTCCTACAGTGGCCAGATTCAGTAGGCATTGGTTTCATGCCAAGGCTCTTTGGGGTACGTGGTCCTTCGTGTGACTACAGGCCACAACCATTGCATTTACAGCTTCCAATGAGGCCCTTGTCTTTTTGTCTCCCTTAACTTTTAATTTCAGAGACACTATAATGATGAAGACCCTGACAAAGAAAAGCGAATTAAAGAATTAGAATTGCTCCTAATGTCGACTGAGAATGAGCTCAAAGGACAGCAGGCTCTACCAGTAAGAATGTCACCATGTGCTTGAATGGTGGGGGGCAGGGGGTAGCAGTTTTACCCTGGTGCTCTTCTGTATCTTTTCCCTTCTTTTCTAAATATTATGGGATCAAGACTCTATATATCTGTTCATAATGTTTAAAGACAAGAAGTTGTTGGTAAGAAAACACCATTGGTATCAGAATGTTGACTAAATTGGAAGTAGTCCTTTTGTGTTGCAGTAGAAATTCAACATCTACTTGTGATGGTCATTACTGATTTTTTTTCAGAAGGACTGTAATCAATTCAAAGACTAGCAGAGATAAAATGAATGAAATTATGCATTTTTTATAAAGTTTTATATTTCTGTGGTGCCTATTTAATTTTTGTCTGTTATTTTTCTTAACCTAGATTTTCATACTTTATAATTTCAAACGTGATTTGATGCATGTTCAACGTATACATGTGAAAAAGATATATATAATCTCTCCACAATAACATTAGCTGCTCTCTTTCGTTTGCATGTATGAAAGCTGTGCAGACCATTACTGAATTCTGACATCTTTTATAGTGATTGGGCAGCAAACTGGGAAAGCAGCTTGCACTTTGTAACCTATGTAGTTAACCAGCCAAGAGACTAAAAGAGATGTGATACATAGTAGGTATTCTTAGGAGTATTTTTTTTT